ATTATTCTCTGAAAAAGGCCTGAAACTCTTAATATTCTAATAATTAAGTCTCTTGCTGACACTGATTGATGTTTTCCAAAGAAAATTACAATGAATTAGCATTAGTCAAAAAACAGATATCCTGTGACAATAATACTTGATTCAAAATAATATAGTTATTTTCACATTATATCACTTATAACACCAGCACCTTCTATGGTCTATGAAAAGAGTGTCACACACATACAAAGAAAATTCAAAAAGTTCATGCAAAAGAGGCTCTAGAAGATAACGGGATTGTTCATGAACTTTAAAAAAAATAAATATATACGTATATCTGTGTGTGTGAATGAATGTATGTACATGTATGTGTATATATAACATATATAAAGCACACAAATATTAGTATAAATATCATGAGCTCCTAACAGCTCTTTCAATATACACATAGAGGTAAGAGAATTCTGCCTTTAAAAATTTTAACATTTATACAATATATATTTTAATTGTGGTGTTCATGTATTAAAATTTCTCATGAATGAGACTGGAAAACCTTAAGGCTATGGACATAACTTCTGAGAGACATTATTCTCTCCTATATTTAGGATACGCTAACTCTTTTCCAATGAGGCCCAACTTGTCTTCCATGGAATATTTGACACTCCATCGGCTCACAAGTCTTCACCTTTTCAAAGCCACAGTTTTCTAGAACAGGAATCTTCAAACGGTGATCTGATTGCATCTGAGAGTGCTTGAAATTGCCCAAGGGGTATGAGGCATGGATGGGGAAACAAGCTCTTATTTCTTCAACTTCCATGGGCACACTTTCCCGAATCTGCCTTGTCAAAGACGACTCAGGGATTACGCGGTCCTGCGGTTCACCCGTTCTCCCCGCTCTTCCACCACCCGCATTCTCTTCCTTGACAAAAGGAAGGCTTTGCCCTCACCCACCTTAATCTTCCTTTGGAGCATTGGCCCAGGGTGGGACACAACTGAAATATTGGCGTCTCAAAAGAGATCTTTATCTTGCTAACGTATATACATTCTCATATTTAGTGAAGTTAAGGATTTCATTTTACCTGGATCTACAATGAACATGCATGGAAGTTCAAAACCAAATGATGTAGTGTGTATTGGACAGCTAAACTACAAAACACCTCTTAGCAGTGTTCACGAGCAAAGACGTCACTCTGAGAACTAAGGTGCACTTGATGCAAGCCATAGTATTTCCATTGCTTCTAATATCTAGGAAACAGGATAATGAATAAAAAAATCAAAGAGGAAGTGAGGCATTTGAATTAATAGTGTTGCTGAAAACTATTTAAAGTACCATGGACAGCCAGAAGCGAAAAACAAATCTGTCTTGAAAGAACGCTGCTTAGAAGTTGGGATCGTGAAACTTTTTCTTATGCACAATTGGCATATTATCGGGAGGGACCAGTCCCTGGAGATAGATACTGTGCTTGACGAAGTAGAGAGAGAGAAAGGTGAAGACGCTCAGCGGATTGGCACAGTGTACGTAGTCTGTATAACAGAAGTATGAAGAGTATGTAGGACCAGGCAGTGCCAGGATCGTTGAACAGAGGGATGCTACCAGTCAGCCCTGTCACAGTGGCAACAAACAATATTTGTCTAAGCTTTAGAAATTGGGCCATTTCATCTTTGTTGGAATATTTTTAATTCAGAATTTTTTTAAATCATTTTATTAGGGGCTCAT